GTAGGTAGTAGTAAGTAGTAAGTAGTAAGTAGTAGGTAGTAGGTAGTAGGTAGTAGTAGTAGGTAGTAGTGGTGGTAGTAGTAGTAGTAGCTGTTGAAAGTCCGTAACACGGAAGTTTTGCACCGTAAACTTCATTTGGTAATTTATACATATATATAATATATACTTGCAGCGAGCGATCCCTTTTCAACCTGCCAGTCCCAGGTCGTTTCTGGGTGGTTGAACCGGATCCGCCTTCACCAGGCGTGCGCAGGCCGCGGCCTCCCGGCAGTTGAAGTCGTGCGCGGCCGCTCGGCAGTGGCGCCACTCGCTGGCGCTGCTCGAGGGCATGGCCCGTGGTGCGGTGCAGGCGACGGCCCGGTGGCTCGGAGGTCGGCCGGCGACGGCGGCGATGGGGAGGGTGAAGGTCTCCCCACGGTCCGGAGCCAGGAAAGGTGGACCGTGACCATAGGTACTGCCCCAAACACGATCGATGGGATTGCCATGCCGATCAATTGACCCCTCTCGCACCACCCCAATTGATCGGCATATAGGCCAGTCCCAAAAAGTGTCTGGGTCGGGTCGAACGTGCCTTGTAGACGTACTTCAACAGGAAGGAAGATCCCCTTTTCGGGTCTTTTTCCTGTCCTTTCCGTGTGCCTTTCTTGTCCTATTCCTGTCCTTTTTGTGTCCTTTTCCTGTCCTTTTCATGCTCTTTTTCATGTGCCTTTCCTGTCCTTTTTTTTTGGGTCTTCTTCTTTTCCTTTTCCTGTCCTTTCCATGTCCCTTTCCTGTCCTCTTCCTGTCCTTTTCGTGTCCTCTTTCTGTCCTCTTCCTGCTTTTTTCGCGCGCTTTTCCTGTCCTTTTTTCGTGTTCTTTTCCTGTCCTCTTCTTGTCCTTTTGGTGTCCTTCTGACGTCCTCTTCCTGTCCTCTATTTCGTTTCCTTTTCCTTTCCTCTTCCTGTCCTTTTCGTGTCCTTTTCCTGTCCTCTTCTTGTCCTTTTGGTGTCCTTCTGACGTCCTCTTCCTGTCCTCTATTTCGTTTCCTTTTCCTTTCCTCTTCCTGTCCTTTTCGTGTCCTCTTCCTGTCCTCTTCCTGTCCTTGTCGTTTTCATCTCCTTTTCTGTGTCATCTTCGTGTCCTTTTCCTGTCCTCTTCCTGTCCTTTTCGTGTCCTTTTTCTGTCCTTTCCGTGTCCTTTTCCTCTCCTCTTCCTGTCCTTTTTGTGTTCTTTTTCTGTCCTCTACCTGTCATCTTCCTGCTTTTTTTCGTTTGCTTTTCCTGTCCTCTTTGCGTGTCCTTTTCCTGTCCCCTTCTTGTCCTTTTGGTGTCCTCTTCCTGTCGTCTTCTTGTTTTTCTTTTTTGTTTTGGTGTCCTTGTCATGTCCTTTTCATGTCCTTTTCCTATCCTCTTTACCTTTTTTTCGTGTCCTTTTCCTTTTGCTGTCCTTTTCCTGTCCTTTTCGTGTTCTTTTCCCGTGTTTTTGTTCTTGTCCTGTCCTCTACTTGAATCCTTCTCCTATCCCTTTCGTGTCCTTTTTGTGTCCTTTTCCTGTCCTTTTCTTCTTCCTGTGATTTTCCTTCTCTTTTCCTCTCTTGTCTTTTTCTTGTTTCTCATCTTTCATTTTCATGTCCTTTTCTTTCCTTTGTTTTCCGGCTGCTCTTCTTACTTTTGTTTTTCTTCTTTACGCCGTTGCCGCCTGAGGTGTGGATATGTTTCTTCATGCTTGCCGCCATTTCGATGCTGAAGCCGCCTCAGACGCAGGATCCAACAAAAGGTTCCTTTTCCTGTCATTTTTCTATCGTGCATGTTCTTTTTCTTTTCTTTTCCTTTCCCTTTTTTTCTCTGCTCTTCTGTTTTAATATCCTTTCCTTTTCCTGCGCTTCTTTTGCTTTTTCTTCTTTCCGTCGCTGCCGCCTGAGGTGTAGAACTGTTCCTTCAAATTTGTGGTCACTGCGATGATGGTGGTTCCTCGGACGCAAGAAGGATAGAAGCAGAAAGACTTACATAATAACAACAATTGCGGTCTGTGGTCGGCCGTGGTCCTCGCCTAGACGCGGGTCAAGGTGGCAGGCGGCATTGGAACTATAACGCCGTGACTGATGACGCGGAGTTCAAGAAGCACTTTTGAGTGTAGGCATCTTTGTAGAAAGGCCCCCAGAAGATGGCCAGGGCATATAAGAAAAAGAGGGTCGCTGGATCCATCCATGTCGGCGCAAAAGAAAGAATATAAAGCCGACAAATGACAAAACAACATTTAGCAAGAAGGCGAATGCCCCGCCAAAGAAACCTTTAGCCTGCAGGGCTACAGTTAGTGATCAGCCCGTTTCACCCACTGCCCCAGGGGGGAATTCATGCCATGGCAGGCAACATGAGCACTATGAGCGCGTGAAGGATGGCGCCAAACTCAAAGAGCTCTGCTGAGCGCAGGCATTTTTGTGGAAGGCACGCCAGAAGCTCGCACTATCCGAAAGAAAAACGAATCACCGAATCAAGCTAGACGTCCTATCAAGACACGTCGCTTCTTTGAACTTGTGTGTTACAAAGACTGCTAGATATAAACGAACATGTCTTCTTGAAACACCTGCAAACATACACGGGTTTGTAATTTTGTAAAAAGAGAAGAAGAAAGATCAACGGGGAGAGAGCAACAATCGTATAAACGTAACGACGCCGGCAATTTTACGAAGGAGAATGAAGAAGCTGCAAATGGACACCAAATATGTTTTTAAACAAAAAAAATATATATGTATGAATAAGCCTAGCGACTGACGCTCTTCCAATCTTCCATTTTCAATACCGGCATCAAGGCTTTGGGCGCCATACAGACTTGTGTCTGTTCGTATGGCTGAATGGTCTGAACTTCAAAAAGTCGCTCTGCCACACACATGCAAAAGCTGGTGAGCACAACGAATCAACTTTCAACATTGCCCTCTTCAAAACCAAAACTGCGAGCGCTGGGCGCCTGCACTCCGATGACACGAAAAGTGATGGCCACTCGCGATAGATCCATCCGACCGGCGGATGGAATAGAAATCAAAAAAGAAGTGACTTGATGGGCCGGGTTGAGTTTTTTGTTTGCTTTTGAGCTGTTTGCCCAGACTTCTTTTACCCACAAGACGCAAAAAACACCCTATAGGTGAAGGTGGCTCTAGTTCAGAAATGGCTTGATGCACACAGGACACCAAGCGAGACAAAAGGCGGCACCCCAAGATGCTTGGCATTGGGGGCCGCCAAAGGCAACAGCGAGTGAAGGCGTGGTGTTATTTGTTGTTCTCTCTCTCTCTCTCTCTCTCTTTTTTCTCTCTCTTTTTCTCTCTCTTTTTTTCTCTCTCTCTCTCTCTCTCTTTCTCTCTCTTTCTCTCTCTCTCTCTCTCTCTCTCTCTCTCTCTCTCTCTCTCTCTCTCGCTCTTTTCTTCTCTGCCAGGCGCGTGAACTTGTCTCACGCGTAAAGGAAGATTTGGCAGATTTGGCCGCGGCGCAGAGGCGGGGTACAGCCACAGAGGGATGCCACCCCGACAGCTCCACCCTGCTGGGCATCCTGTCGTGCCAGGGATGACTCATGGCGTGCCAGGAATGACATCATGTCGTGCCAGGTGTGACATCATCTTAGTCCCTCAGTGGGCAACCTTTAACCTTTCTGTTTGTTTCTCCCCGGGGGGGGGCAGGGCGCAACAAAAATCAAAGGGCAACGTGTTTGAGAGCTTTGTGTTTTTATAGTTTTTACAGGAATCGGAGACAAGGAGCGCGATGAGGAGCAGAACCAGGAGGAGGGCGAGGAACAGGACAAGGAACTCAAGGAGCAGAACAAGGATGAGGACGATGAACAGGACGAGGAGCAGGACAAGGAGAGGACGAGAAGGAGGAGGACGAGGAACAGGACGGAGGAGGAGGACGAGGAACAGGACGAGGAACAGAACGAGAAGGCGAGGACATCAACCAGAAACGCGCTTCAACGCCTTCCCCAGCACGTACGAAAGACACAAGGGGTTTCAGTTCCATTTGCGCCGTCGCTCACTGTTTGGTGTCATGCCGTTTTTGCAGCTTTGATTGAGCATTTCTTTACAAGTCAATTTTAAAAATAAAAACGTCTTCTGATGCCCATTCCGTTTTGAGGTGTAGTCCACGATGGCGCCCAAACCGAAGCCATACTCAAAGCTGGAAAGGCTGCAGCGAAAAAGGATCCTTGACCCTGTCTATCTATGACAGAGTCAAATGCCTAAGTCAAAAGATCCGCCAAATGGAAAGATGTAAAAAGTCAAGTGCGTAAGCTCATGTTGTGGTGTGGTGGAGAAAGTTTATCCGTTTTTTGTCCCCTGCATGGCGCGTAAGGTGAAACGCGAGTCGCGGTTTTCGTGCGGGCGTAGGCATTGTTTTTCCTTGTCGCAACAGCCGGGGCACAAACGTCACGCCGCCACGTCACGCTCGACCCCACCGCGCACGACGTGCGACCACATCGCGCCGAACGGTGCCACCTTCTGGACCCCCCTAGCGGCTTCACAGGCCATCCATCACCCCGCGGATGTTCACGGCCATGCCCCGCACGTTGCGCCACGGCGTCACGCCGAACGCCGCCGCGCACGATTCCTCCCCCACGTCGCGCCGAACGCGTTGACGTCATGTGTTGCCAGAGGTGACATCTCGTCATGGCAGGGCCCAACCCTTGCTTCAAACCCTGCCAACGCGACAGCTCCACCCTGCTCAGCATCCTGTCACGCCAGGGCTGACATCATGTCGTGCCACGGGTGGCATCATGTCGTGCCAACGTCATGTCACGCCAGGGATGACATCATCCGGAAATGACATTGTCCGCCAGGGATAGCACCATGTCATCACGGCATGGCAGACGGATGCAGACGGCGTCATGTCACGCCAGGGTTGCAATCATGTCACGCCAAATCGTATCGATACAGGGAGTGGGAAGGTTGGGCCTCCAAACCGAGGGGCGCCGTGTGGCTGGGTGGCAGAGGTGCCCGGAGGCGGAGGAATGGCTTTGGCATGCGGCGTCAATCGCAGGGTGAAGATTGCTGTTGTTTCACGCTAGTGTACTATAGTCATGTCTCGCGTGTATCAAAGCAGTTTTCGGCCCAAGCATACCGCTTTACCTTCGCCCACCACCAGTCCTGACATCTAGCGAGGCTTGAAACGCATCAGAGACATATGAAGAGTAGAACATACCAGTAGCGCCTCGTCAGGATGCCCACTGGTTATTTGCAGATAAACTTGGGTAACGAACGCCTGGCAATGCCCGGAGCACTCAGATTCGTGCCCGCACCTGACTTTTCACCACGCTGAACGCTGAAATCCGAGCCCTGACTTGAGATGGTACCTCCAAACAGACTTTGCAAGAGGCTGGGGCACGACGTCAACCCTCGTGTAGGATGCGGAAACACACCCCGTCACGCAGGCTCCTACCGCGCACTTCAAGGAGCACTGGCTCGAGCAACGGGGCTTTGAAAGCTGCATCCTTATCTCTTTTCAAAAGTTTAGGGGCCTCACATCACTAACCGAGCGATGGTACATGCCACCTGAATCATAATCCAGACACGACGCATGGAACTGCCATATGTGCCGATCAGGCTGTCATATATAGCAATCCCATGGGTCGTGTCTGCCGGGCCGAAGAACCAGGGGACCCCACATGAGGTGGATCAAGTCCAGTCAGATTGAAGAACCAGGTATGTTTGATTTTTGCTTAAGGTGTTTTTTGCTCAATGGAAGAACACCCTTTCTGGTGGAGTTTCTATTTTTGGTCCGGTCCCTTAAGCAAATCCCCGTCCCGCCAACTCTTCCAGTCCCGCATATATGTTGAGGTCATTCACTTGAGCTCCGTGCTCTCCTCCTTGGCGCAGCAGTGGCCGCGGGCCATGGAGCTTTTGCGGTGCATGGAGGACCGGGCCATGGAGCCCTTGCGGAACCCAGGTACTTCGCGCTGGGCCAAGAGAGGTAGCCAGTGACCGTAGATAGGACCCTACTCACCTGGGGTACCCAACTGGGATAGTCGAACGTTCGGGTCCTGAAAAAACCCCTGTTGGTGAAGCAGGCGCGAAGCACGAATTTCGGGGGTAGATATAGAACCTCAAGTTGGGGCGCGGGTTCCAAGATGTTCCATGGCCCAGTGCGGCCGCCGTTTGGTATCCTGCAATAGGGTCCCGGTGGTTGAAGACAGCCTGACTCCTTAGAATTGGCATTGTTTCAGTAGGTCCATGTCGGGAACGGGATGGTTTTTCAATGCTTTTTGTTAGACCCTAATTAAGCCCATAGGAATCCAAGGTCGGAAGGTGTTTGGAGACACTGTTATGTTGGTTTGGAGGCTCCAGTCGTACCTTGTGAGGTTCGGTACGACTAGATTTTTAGGGTTAATGTTTTGGTAGATCCTGTCCTAGGCCCAAGGCCCTAAGTGAGTGGATGTGACAGGGGACACCCTAACTTCCTCCATGAAACACCCTTTTTTTTCAACTGCAGATGATCAGCAGTGAGAATGTGTTGGACATCCTCCGAGCTGGATGGTGTCTTGGTTTCCTTTTAGATGCTGTAGATCTTCAAAGACCCTTAAGACCCTTCGCCCCTTTCATGAGGGGATTTACTGCGAACCCCCCTGGGCCGACCCTGGGTGAACTCGGCCGTAGCCCTTCCCCCAAGGTTCCTGGGGCCATCCGGCCAGGAGGATGGGATGCTATTGGACACGGTCTGCTTCAATGCGGCCTTAAGCGCCTGCGCCAGCTGCGGGTGCGGGGGCGCCAGCTCGGCTTCGCGAACCCACGCCTCGTAGCGCTGTCGATCGCTGGTCGAAACAGGTGTTGTTCGTGTAAGGGCTCCGGGGGTGTTCGATTGAAGCGATGGTCGAGTTACAAGTAAAATGAAACATCAATATACATCAATTGAATTTTTGTGAATTTTCACATGCGGTGGTTTCAGAGTAGATGGCACAGAGCCCAAGATGTCCTTTAGATGAGGGTCCATATAAACCAACCTTTTGTGCCATCATCTCTGAAACCACTGTAAAATGATGTAAACCAGCAGTCACACAGGGGTGCCGAACTTGGGAGGAAGTCGTTTTTTTTTTGAGAACATCCACTCACTGGGCAAAACCGGCGAACTCGCAGCTTCCGTCCAGCGTCTTAAAGAACCGCGTGACCAAGTTAGTGTAAGTAACTGTTCAGACAGGATCGCATCCAGCTTCTGAAAAAGAAGTTACCTTTTTCTGGAGTCCCTGTTTGTGACCTTTGACGTGTTTCTGAAACATCTGAAACAAACCTCAAAAGCCGGGGATGAAGTTTGGTCACTTTGAAGAACCAGGCTAGAAATGTTCAACGGCTCAGGCCTTCTTGGGTCGTTAGATGCTCCTACCCCTTCCTCATCTCTTCTTTCTCCACATCCACCAATTCACTTGGCTGCCCAGAAGCCACAGAGTAACTAGGCGTGCGGCGTGCGGCGTGCCTGGCATCTTGGCCACACCTTTGAACGCAAACATAGGCCAAAATCCACAAAGGACTCAATCCACACAGGCTCACGATTGAAAAGAATGGGTCACAAAGAAACTCCATGGTGCTGCTTCCAGAATGCTCATCTTAATTTTCGGCCGATCGATTCCTTAGGGATGGTTCCAAATCATTCGTTGCGTTGAAACAGGGCACGTGTAGAGAACTTGATACTTTGGTTTTGCCATCTTCGGGGGTAGCAGTAGCAGTTGTACAAATATATACGTAGACCCTTCGAAGTATATAGGGCCAATTCTGGACACGAATCTCCCAATCCCAACCCAGCTTAAGACCGCTGAGGGAATCGGGGTCAAGTTCCAACCGTCGCAGGCAATTTGAAGCCGCCTTGCAGCTCTTGGAGCAGATGGACGCCTCTCAGGTGCTCCCTCTCTCCTGTGTGACAGGCGTCCGCGGCGTCCAGGGTCGGTGGTCGGCAACTGAACCTCTTACTTCACCCGACTGATCGGAGGTCGTCCAGTTTCCAGGACCTTCAAAGTGACCTCTTTGGAGACTCTGACAGAGTGACCACGGCTGTGACAGTGACCGAACCCGTCACTGGGATCTCGTGACCTCTTCGTTTGCGTGAAGTTCCCGAGTTCGGGTGACCGTTCGTCAGACCATTCCTTTTATGGTCTTTGACTCCCAGGGTAAATACTGTCCTAGACCACCCAAGGGTGTCCAACGGAGACCTCTAGCTAGTGTAGGGTAGTCTATTGGACATTCCTCGGAAGGGCCCTGGGTATGGCAAGTCGAATGCTTTTCAGGTGGTGTGGGAATGCATTAATTCAAACACGGTAGTCATAGCACGACTATGATGTACATCAAACACCTTGATAAATTCAAACAATATAATGGTCAAATGGTATGATGCTTGGACTGCAGGCTTGTAGTTACTAAGCTTTCTTCAGCTACACACCCCAAGCCATGCGTTGTGGCTTCGATGGGTTTTTGGCTCTTTTGACCACTTCTTTGGAGTCAGGAATTCTCCGGTTTCGGGTGTGGTCTTGGTCTTGCGGGTACCTCCGCACTTCGGATGGTCGTCTTGGAGGGTGACTTCTCGTTCTTCCACAGAAGGGTCGAACTGGGCCAAAGGACATGCGAAAAGGAGGTTACACTGGAAGTGGATGGAAAGTGGTCCCCTTTGGATGAGCCATTTCCGAATACCAAACAGGTGGGTGAACTCCACTTCCCTCGATGAGTTCAGGGCATGTCATCAGTTGATTTGTTCCATCCTGTTCCATTCTATTCCCACCAATCTTCATCCACCAGCTCACCTTACCTCCTCCAGAATTTGTGGCGCAACCCAACTGCGACATCGCCCCCCTTGGCGGCATGCATGCCCCGGGATGCCGAGAAGCTATATAATAAGTATTCCCTAAAACTCGAATCATCTACCAGGAGTCACAAAGGGGTGGTTTTTAGTCCCATCCAGTGAGTGGATGTTCTGGGCATCCCTATCCTGGGCCTGTCCTCCAAGTTCGGCACCCCGTCTTGTGACTGCTGGTAGAAACACAGTCTCAAGGCCACCTCCACACTTCCAAGATCTCTTCACCATATACCTTCCCCAGGCTCCACCAAAGCCCGACCAGTCCAGCACGGTCCGCGAGTGACAGCCCGACCCGTCCGGAGGCGGATAGGCCGAAACCGGTCAGTCTGGTGCCATGACCCCCACGTCGATGCTTTTTGGACTCCGAACCAGTCCCTAGCCTGGTGGTTCAATCCGGGCACCGAACTGGACACCCCGGAGACACCTCGACTGCGACTGGAGGGGTCCAAGGGTTCCGGTTCTCTTAGGCGCCAAGCTACCGCCAGGTGCCCAAGAGCTACGCCACCGCCAGCGCCGCGATCGTCGCCTGCGGGCGACGCTGGCCTTGGGCGCTGCACTTCCTGGCCTCGATGCCCAGGCGGCGTAGACTGACCTTGACCTCCCAGGTAGGTGAACCAACCAACAGAGCTGGAAGTCTAGGTCAACATCCCATGCAACCGCCATGGTCAACCAACCATGGACCTCCCGGGTAGTTTTTTTTTTTTTTTTTTTTTTTTTCGGAAGGACCCTAGTAGGGCTCAGAGGCGTACAAGAGCGTACGTAGCCTTTGCCCCAGAACCCGAATAGGGTTCGCTAACAGAAAGAAAGAAAAAGAAAAGGACCCTAGTTCCTTCGATTCTGGACCGAAGGCCCGAACGTGGCGCGCGAACTGGCCCTGAAGGTCAGGAAGTTCAGTCGACTGCAGGACCTGCAGGGATCTCCAGGGACGCAGGACCACCAGGTTTGGACCAGGGTCCAACAGAGGTGGAACGTGACCGGGACCAGGCCGGACCCGGAACACCTGGGGTATAGTCGAACGTTCGGGTGCTTCAACCTCTGTTGGCAGTTGGGTCAGCCTGAACCAGGTTTGGTTTCCGGTTCTCATGAACCAGGAACACCTTCTCCTACAGTGCGGCCATCTCCGCCTGCGAAAAAAGCGGGGAACTGGAGCGTGATGCTGCTGTTGTTGGAGGACATGCAGCTTGGAGCGTCAGGCGGAGAGGTGGGTCACCTGCTTCCTTGCAAAACATCCGATGTAGCTATACCCTGCAGGACCTTAGGGTCGATCGGAGGCCCCTGACCTTCCCCCCCTGACCTTAGTCGCGTAAACACTCCAGCTGTATCCTTTCCTCGCCTCAGATTCTTGGGTGGTGTTTGGTGGTATTTGGGTAATCATCAACTGGACCTTCGTCTATTCAACCGTCCACACCACTTTCAACAGGGAATCCCAGCTGCGGAAAATTGCAGGGAATGGCCTATATCTTTGGAACCTGCAGTCACAAAGGGGTGCGATCCATGGAGGTAGTCGGGGTGCCCCTGTCACATCCACTCACTTGGGGACGTTTCACACCACCCCGACATGTGACTGCTGGAACCAACGGTCCATGAAAGTGTCATGTTGGGAAAGATAGGAAGCAAACGACGCCCTCAAAATGCACCTTACTTCCGCAATTTTTCATCCATTTTTGCGATTGGTTTTGGTCTCCACGGGTAGGCTCCACCATCGGTATGTTGACGGGATGAAGCCGCCCTTTTGCTTGGAACCATCCAAGAATGCAAGCCTTGAGAAGCCCATCTATTACTAAACCATGACTCGTCGACTCCAACTTCTTCCGTCCAACAGCTCGCAGCGGCTCGCAGCCACGCGAGCCGCTTACCTCGCGAGCCGCTGACCTCAGGCTGCTCGAGCGAGTGCCTTGGAATGTGGTGACCTGCTCGGCGTGCATCGCCGCCTGCGAGAAGGGCCGCGAGTGGCGCCGGGCGCTGCAGATGCTGCGACAAATGCGGGCAGCCGAGGCAGTGCGGAGGAAGAGCGGAGGTGATGGAAGAGCACCCTAACATGGTCTAACATTGTCTAACATGTAACTCCGGGCAAGAGAACCAGGACCTTCAAAGTGACCTACTAAGTGACCTTTTGAGATCTCAGTGGCTGAGGTCACTTAGTCCCAAAAGAGGTCACTTTGACGAGTATATATAGCCACCCGTTTTGGCGCTGACTCCGCGCGGCGTCAGCCGCGTCGTTGGTTCGTGGAGCACACGCTGGCAAGGTGGAACCCAACACCTTCTCCTACAATTCGGCCATCTCTGCCTGTGAGCGTGGCTCCCAGCTGACGAACGCCTTGGAGCTTCTTCAGGCGACGAGACCGCAGCCGACCACGCAAGGGTGCGGTCGGGTGCGGTGGTTCGTCTTCTCCCAGACACCGACCTCTGTGGGAGCCGATCTGGCCGTTGGGGTGCTGGTTTCAAGGGGGTGGCATGCCACCGGGGCGGCAGAACGCCAGTGCCATGGTGGCTAGGGTGTTTCTAGACACGGTATAGGTCTCGACTCACACCGAGATGAAACAGGAGTCATGGGAATCCATGGTTTGTGGATCAGAGCGTTGTGGAGCAATAGCAACTGGGTGCCAGACCAATCATCGGAACCTATTGGAACCATGATGAAGGGCTCTACATTGACATACATTGACCCCGAAAAAGCAAAGCATCTTAAAGTCGCACCCCTTTAGATCTGCATGTTGCCAGTCCCTATTTCATGGTCGTGCCATGGGATTTGTTAACAGAGTCGTGACGGTTCACCACTGTCACCACAACCCATACCTTGACGGGAATTGACTTACATACCTTGACACTGAAGACATCTTTAAAATCTCCCCTACTGTTTCTGCATATGGGTGTGTATCAAAATAGGGAGACCTCCCAAAGATCCCCTGGAAGAAGGGATAGACCAAAAGCCATTTGGCCAGAGGGTCTCCCAACTAAAATACAAACCCATATACCAGCAGTCACAAAGGGGTGGTGTTTAGTCCCTAAGTGAGTGGATAATGGGCACCCCTAACCTCCATTAAGCACCCCTTTGTGACTGCTGGTATATTCCACATATGGATTTTCAGGGAGTGGTGCCGAGCGGAGCCGCGCTCGGTTCAACCGCTCCACCCGCGCCTTTCGCTGCCGCACGCCGCGGGTGCCGAGAGCGTCCAACAGGAAATGGACCGTGTGGAGATTCGTCAGGAGTGCCCCCACTTCGATCGCTGCATGGCACCGGGTTGGGGGAAGCTTTCACCTCACCGAAGTCGTTGCAGGGCGACGCCGAAAACAGACGTCAGGTGTCACTCAGGGGAGGTTTTTCGGATTTGACATACAGCGTCTCACAAGTGGCTGTCCAAGTCCTGAAACGGTCAGAGCACTGCTTGGGACCAAAGTGGTGATTCCAGCCGACTCCCGTCGGCTGCACGACGGGCATCGCTTGTCCCGGCGGGTTCCGAAGGGTTGGCCGTGAAGTGGTGGAGTCTTGACCCAGCTAGTGTCCGAAAAGTGGATCCGCTGCAACATCACTTTTTTGGGGGGGAATAGCTTTTCTGGGTGGCAAAAAACTGACCCTCCCTGCAACAACCCTGGAAGTGGACAACGCCCTGTTTGGTCTTCGGAGATTGATCCACCTCCAGTGGCAAGTGTCCACTTCCACGACTGGAAAAAGCTTCACCTGGGGACCATTTATTGATTCCACGGACACCAGTGACCTTTTCAGGTGGCAGGTATACCCTTTACATCCCTTTACAGTCTTTACAGTCTTAAGTGACCTCATATATCTCAAAGCGTCACTGGGAAGGTCCGAGCAGTTCTGTCTTCTACAAACAGCTACTTTGAGTCCCTTGAGTCCCAATTTTTTAAATTTCCAGCGGCCGTTCAAAGACGAACGGCGGACTGGTCACACGACCGGTGTGCCTGAGGGTCCGTCGGCGATTTCGGGAGCAGGATGTGGTGACCTATGGGAGTGCGATCTTCGCCTGTGAGCATGGTGGCCAGTGGCACACCGCCCTCAAGCTGTTGGAGGAGCATGGTTTGGTTCACGGATGGGGAAGAGGGGCTCCAGTCGTACCACCGAACCGAGATGAGTGCGTACGACATGGTAGGACCTTGAGGGTTTGGAAAGTGGAGATAGAGTCAGAGCGTAGAGCCCATCGTGACAGCCTGGCACCCCACCCCTGTAGATTCGGACACTCCCAGCAGCACCTCGGAGGCGCATGGATGAGAGGTGTACAAGCATTAAGTGCACACAATGTCATCCCATCAATGTGGTCAGCGAGGTAGCATTGTTGACATCCTAGACTCAAAACCCAACTGTTATACTACATGCTCTCTCTGAAACGATCTGATTTCACAACACGAATATGCAAGATCCCTCCACCACGTCACACGCCCCGTCTTTCCGCCGGTGGAAAGACGGCCAGACCACGGTCAGACGGGTTGTGCCGTGCGTTGTGGAGATCGGCGGAGGAGATGGGCGGCCGGCACATCGAGAAGAACTGCGTGACCTGCAACGCGGCCTTGAGCGCCTGCGGGTGCCTCGGAGCGTGGGAGGGACGACGGGAGGACGTGTCGGCGTGCGTAGAATGTGGGTGGTTCCTTTTTTTTGTTTGGGGAGGGGAGCTCGCTGGAGAATAGAGGCAAGTTAGCCTATAGAGTGAGCATGAGTGAGCTTCTTAGGCCTAAAACTCCGCAAAAGTTGGAAATTGTTGGTGCCCTTGGCAATTTCGACCAGAAGGATCATGTATGCGTGGAGGGTATCTTCATCCCCAAGGTTGGCCTGGCCTTGGGAGGAAGAGCTTCCTAACCTCGAGGGCCTTGGAAGACCTGGAAGGCTGGTTTTCCTATGTTTTTCTTCCTTACCCTAGGGCTCCAAGTACCTCCTCAGGTTCGGTATGACTGGACCCTCCTGGCACCCGGGCCCCCCAGTCCCACCGAACCGAACAGAACGTACGACAACGGAGCCCTAGGGTGAAGCAAATCGAAGAGATTTGGGGTCAGGAACTCCATTTGGGGAAACTCGATTTGCTTAACCCTAGGGCCCTAGGGCTAGAGAATAGATTTGGGGAACTCTACCAGGACACCCTAAGGGGTGTCTATTGATGGCCCCTTAGAGGTTAAGGGGTGTCCATTAACCACCCCTTGTGGGTCCTAGTATAGATTTGGGGAACGCCATTTTGCACGGTGCCTTTTGGGACATTCTTCTCTTCCGGCCTCCAGGGCCGCACGAGCTTGGCTGGCGGCCGTGGGGATCTTTCAGGAGAACGGCGTGGAGAACTCGGTCCGGGTGGGATCCACGACTGGATCCGCTTGGCAACGGAGATCAAGGTAGTAGACTCAGTATGGTCTCAAAATCATGAGATATCGTAAACAGACATGAGATGACAGAGTTTTTTTAAAAAGCAAAATCCAAGAGAGGTTAAGTGACCTGAAAAGGACTGTAGTTACTGGGGTACCTATGAGAGAGTCTAGTTCGGGTCATTCAACCTCTGTTGGATGGTAACATTCTCCAGATTGAAACCACAGGTGGCCGGACCCCTTCTAGTGGCTCTCCACCAGTCTCCGGGGTTCTTGGTGAGCTGGTCTCCATGGTGTAATGAAGGTCTTTGTAGAGGCTACAATGAAGGAGCTGCATGGTGCAACTTGAAAAACAAAAAACAAAAGTATTCTTCATGAGTAGAACACTTAATTGGCCGCGTCCATCCTAAGTAGAAAACTTATGATACAAAAATGCTTGTACAACTGGCCGCTCCATCTTGCAGCAGCGAGAGTATGAACCAATCCAAGAATATGACCAGAAACATGGACCAGCCTGGAATGTTTTTGGGATTCTCCTCTTCAAATTGCAAGTATGTATACACATACTTTTTTTTGATGGGGTCATGTCATGTTCCATCGAAAAAGAAGTACGAACGAAGTCGGATCCACATCTTATCCTTGGGCCCAGGGCTCCAGTCGCACCTCAGAAGCTCGTTAGACACGAACCGAAACGGAGGTGGGCCAGGAGCCCAAACGGGTTAGAACATGTCCAGCCCAAGAACCAGCTCTCCAGGAGATGCGCTCCTCGGCCATCGGAGCCACCGTGGCATCCTTCACCGCGCTGGCCGCGGCGGCGGCAGGCGCCCGGTGTTGACCTTTTTACAGCGCACTAGGACCCTTGTGTCGTGGGACGAAGACCTTGACCTTGACCTGGTGTTGCTGGATGGTGTATTGTGCCCCCAGGTCGGGTGAATTCGCCGTAGACGGACATCTCATGTTTTCCCTGGTTCCGGAGGCGGGAATGGGTCATCAATGGTGTTTTGTTTGGTGTATGGATCACTCAGCAGATGGTCACGACATACATGGTTGATTCGTTGGACATGCATGGGGTAAATGCTTCATGATGTAGCTATTCCAGGTCTGGGATCACTAGCTGGAATAGTGGAATAGTGACACGGATGGGTCATGTTCACGGGATAACACATATATTATACACGGATGGTCCGCAAGGAGGTCCGTCCTTGCTGACCTTTTTGCTTTTCCTGATTGGCATTTTATAGACACATGCACCCCTGATAGAGGTGGACCGAAGTCATACCCCGATCTTGTTGGGTAACATGTATATCCCCTTGGGCTCCAACCATATCCTCAGAAGGTAGTTAGCCCCCCCAAACCCACCCCAACCAACCACTCTCTCAGGAGGTGGGCCAGGAGCCCTAGGGATCACGGCTTCGAGCCAACCCCAAACCGAAGCCAACCCCATGGATGCTCTGGCATCACGCGGATGATGCTACGCGGCTTGAAACGCCGCCGCCGTGGCGGGCCCCGCGTGGCGTTACGGGCGCAGGCTCATGGGTCACGTGCTTGGCGGTGCTGGAGATGGCGCGAGTGGCGCAGGCGCGAAGGAATTGCAGTGCGGTGCAGGGTTGCAAGGGAGAGGAGGAGACAAGAAGGAATATGAAGGAATTCAGGGTCAGTGGTTCTTTGTGTCACTAGGGATTTGACATCTTGATTCTGAATTCTTGCAGAAGAGAAGCTGCCTGGTTGACCTGTCACACCTTGTTTCACCCTGGATGTCAACCGAACTGCAATGTCCAGTGGGTGCTGAGCTTTCGGCTGAAGCTGCAGAACTTGGCAGGTTCATTTGATGCTGACACCAGACCTCCAATCACAGGACCATTTTTCAAGCCACTCCACATATTTCCAGCCGACCTGCCTGTGCCGCTCGATTCAGTCCTCCTCCCGTCCCCCCAACCGAGGGTCGCTGATACCTTCCTTTGGATTCTTAGACTCGAACTGCCCCTTTGGTTCATAACCCAGACACTCCATGCCTGGCATACATGCATATGCCCACATTGACCCCTCAAACCACCCCAATGTAGGTAAATACACTACAGGGAGTGTTTGGGTAAGGGATTTACTTCCCAGGACCCTACCAGGACCTTTCCAGTGACCCAACTTGAGATCTCAGTGGCTGAGGTCATTGATATAGACTGTAAAGGGTCACTTACCAATCCTGAAGTCAGGTCACTGGGAAGGTCCTGGTACTTTGGTCCCATACCCTTGAGATTTGTTCTGACTCTCCGGGTTGCGGCGGCCACGCAGGACGCACACGAAGGACGCCATGTCGCGTGCGCGGCGGCCCCGTGCACAGGCCAGCAATTGCCTGGCGGTGGCGGCAGTGGCCGCCGCCTGCGAGAGGGCGTGGCATCTCCAGGAGGCCCATCGATGGTTTTGGGGCGCAGACGGAGGGTGTGGTGTGGACGGCCAGAACGGAGGGGCCCAGAAAGGCGCCACCGGAGGTTTGGCGGAGGTTTGGTACTGTACCCGGAAAGAGATGGAGATCGCCAGACCTCTAAAAAGAGTCGATCTATGTATGAGAAGTTCTCAGTGACATGCTTTCCCCCTCCATCGTCCATGCCCCGCATCCCGCGCAAAGAGGCGCGACTAGTCCCTGCCCTGCCATCGGTGTCGGCAGGTCAATGCCTTGCTCGAGGAGTTGGAGACCAGCTGGCTGAGTGCCGTGCGGCCGAATGCGTTGAGATGTGGCCTGGAGAGAAAAAAGAAGGGCTGCCGAAGGAGCTGGTGAGATACGTCAGCCTGGCGGAAGGTCGTTGGCTGAAGGGAGCGATCGAGAGAGATCGAGAGCCGCAGGTCTGAAGCGTCATGAGGTTCCTGATCTTTCCTGATCACATGACATTCCCATGGGAACAGGTCTTCAGACCTGTCTTTTCCAGAATGCAGACATCAAATCTCTTGCCCAGACACGACACGTCTGGGACTGCCAGGATGGACTGCCGAGAAACAGTCAGACCCCCAGTCAACCACCGTTGCCCTGGCCGTTTCTACTCGGCAGTCCGCCCTGGCAGTCCCAGACGTGTCGTCTGTGGGTTGGATTTCTTCATCGCCTCCAGTCGTCCACACTGGCGCCCCATAGCCTGGCCGCTGGAAGCCGCTGGAAGCCGGTGCAGCTGGGCCAGTTGGAGGGGCTGTAGATCCCTTGGATCGGCTAAGGTTCACAAAGAGGGACGCCTCAGACTCACAGTGACGGGTCACTGGGAAGGTCCTTGGAAACGACACGATTTCTATCTGCCTGGTTCTTCAGTACGTGACCGATCTTGATAACCTGGTTGGTTCGTGACGATCTAGGAACCTTCAAAAGGTCACTTTGAAGAACGATGAGTGTCTATTTCATTCTATTTCCACCTAAGGGCCTCCCCTAATAGATGGATGCTTGCCTGATTTTGCTTCCCCTCTCGCCCCTCTCGCCCCAACGTTTCAATGCTTTTGAAGGTGAAGCTCTTGTCACAGCTCCGGGCATTTTTAGAGTCTGAGCACCATCTGCACCGAAAAACCTGAGTGTCGCGCAGCCTTTTAGCATCCCTTCTAATCCAACGAAACAACACATAGAGGACACATGTTGTCAAACCAAGAATCAGACTAGCGTAAGTAATTATACTATTGACTGCTGGGTTCAATTGAGTTGAGCAGAACATGGTCACCTTTTTCCCACCTCAGCCAGACACGTGAACCCACGAGCGAGCGTGCATGATCTATGCAAACAGCCACTCTTCAGGGTATTGAGAACCGTTGAGTCACATGCCATCGAGATGAGTGTGCCCTGCTGCCAGATGCCAGCGGACGGAGAAGCCAATCACCGCCATGCGACCCAGTTCCCCAGTTCACATCGCGAAGTGGATCACCAGCAAATCACCGCCTTCAGTCCATTCACCAGTCACAGTCCCCTTCCGTGTCGCTGCATTCCGCGGGTTCACAGCAGCGCCCGTCATGGATGCGTCCGGGCGTCCCAGAAACACTCGGAGCGGAACGGACCGGGAGCGTCAAGCGGTGACCGTTCGAACCACCCGTTTGGGGCTCCCCACCTCCGTTTTCGGTTCGGTGGAGTGGGTGCCAGAGGGGATTTCGTTCTGCTTCTGAGGTGGGACAGGAGCCCTACACGAGTGAGGGTCGAGGCACTTCCATGCAGGGACTGGACCCTTCTTGAACCGCTCCACATTGCTATGCCAGCTATGCCCGGCGCATCGACCTCGAGGTGGAGTTGGCTCTTACCAAGCCCTCCAAGTCCAGGACGTGACCCCTCCAAACCTCCTGAACACCTCAGTATAAGAGTTCGTGTTTTTGGATGTTTTTGGATGTTTCGGGGTATGACCACCCATGTCACTAAGTGACCTGGAAGAGGTGCTCATGTTCGCTGTGCATTCTTGTTCAATCCACTGGCTTCAGGCCTTTGGCGCATCCGGCTCGGGTGCCCGGAGCTGCTAAAAGCAGCTATAAACACCGGAAGTCACACACGGGTCTGTGAAGACCCTCTACCGAGTCGGTCTGAACTGTTCCATGATTTTTCAGGGGGATTGTAAATGATTGCAATACCCAAGACACTCCATGTATGCCATTTACCTACATTGACCCCGAAAATAACCACCCCTGGCCTGATCGGCATATATGGCAGTCCCATGTGTCGCATCTGGGAGTCTGGGATATGTCAATCATTCGCCTGTCGGCCATGGGGTCGGGTCGTGGAGAGCACCAAAAATCACTCCAGTGGCCACAAATGCAAAAGGCCTCGGTGATGGGTTCCCCCCCACTTCCAGGTGGCTTCCAGGTGGCCCGACGGCCGGGACTGGAGCTCATCCGGACTAGCTACGCCACCATGGATGGGTCAGATTCCAGTCCCATTCCTCTGGTCCTGGAGGCTCTAGCGGCCTAGCGCACCGCCCTTCTTCCATCCCTTTGGGTTTTTCCCACGCTCGCTGACACCAGCAGCGAGCTACCGGACACCAACGTAGCGAGCTGGCGCGACCAGTAGGCCTTACCGGACACCGACCTCCCTTCGTCGGTCACCGGGAGGTGCAAGCAGAGTTCCGGATCGTCATTCTGGAGGCGACCAACGTGCCCAAAGAGCGCCCCGATTCGATTCATCTGGACGACGTCGATTCATCGGACAATGTGAGTGAATGCACTGGACGGAGGTCGAAGTCTTCGGACGTGCATGTGAGAACGACACGCCAGGACCCTCCGGATGTCGGGGTATAGCCCCGAACCCGCGGGTGATTCGGGGTGTCCACCACCCCGACTGGGGGTCCAGGTGTGTGTTTGTTCGGTTGTTTCTTTGTATCGAAATGGTGGAGCAACAAAAACTGCCCACCTGTTGTTGAACTACCATGGATTTGTCCATGGATTCTTCGAAGTTTCCAAAGAGATGGAGCATGTTTGGAGGTTTAATTCGTTGAACTACTGTGAATTGAGGGGCGAAGAGACAGATCACAGGCGCAGTCGGACCAGTCAACTCAGGGTTGTAACTGGCATCTGAACAGACGAGTCCGTTTCCAACACCAGCACCATACTCACCAGCGCTGACGCATTCTTTCCTTTTGCAGCTTCGGCTCTGTGTGTTGCCGAGTACTCGGCCCGTTCGGCCGACCGTTGTCGCCGACATCTGAGGTGCAAAAGCTTGGCCGTCTCCTGGAAGAAAGGTGCCAAGGCCGACTCCTCTCGCCGAACCCCGTGACATCTCGTGAGGTTTTTGGCTCGGGAGACGGGGAGTGGCAGTGGCGGCAGTGGCGGATGCGGGGAAGTCCGATGCGGAAGTCGGTCGGAAGGTTGGAACATCTTTGGGATGAGCCAGTCCGATTCCGCAACCGCACAGGATTTCGCAACTAGGATTCTGCTAACTGTTAACTGTTTCATCCAATAATCCGCAACCTGGGCTTCCAAAACTATAGGATGGGGGGAGGGAGGGGACAATCCCATCGCGTTCGTTGGAGCAATCCAGTTGCTCTCACGACTCACCAGTTCGTTGGACTCAGAACTCGGACTCCTTTGGACTCAGAACGAACCCGGACTCGAACCCCAGGGCCCGAGCCGGCACCAGGCCCGAGCCGTTCTCCGAGGTTTCAGGCTACCCCATGTGAATCCGAAATCCGACGACGCAGTCGTTTCCGGCGTTCCGGCTCTAATCCATGTTTGGAGCCTGCATAGCAGGGGGACAAAGAGGTTGATGGGATGAAGATGAATGAACTATCTCACATAATACTGCTTTGCGCTGCGTACTCTGAACTCACTGTTTATAGTCCCTTCTCGTGTTCCTTGTAGTCCTCGTCCTTTGATCATCTTTCATCTTGGAACTCAATTTGGGAGACATGCTGACCGGAGTGGGGCTCAATTTCGCACCTGTCCCATCATCACCGCAATGACCTGAGTGCTTCAAAGACCCGAGAAAACATCTCTGTTTGATCAGAAAAGACCAGAGGTCACATGAGGTCATTTTGTGACATTATTTGTTGCTCAACCTGTTGTGCTAAATGGGTGCAATCATGAATGCTGGACCTCAGACTCCCACTCCCACTTAAAGCAAAGCACAGCTGCCGATCTACACAGCTGTTGTCACTGCCTTTTTTCCTTTCATGGGGCTAAGTAGATACCATATACCTAGAACCTGATTGACCCCTGTTTTGGACGGTTTTGGAGCCCAAACATGGTTTTTGCCAATCAAAACAGAGGTCATGTCTGGGGTCAAACGGTCGGTCTAAAGCCACGAACTTCGGGTACGGGGCCCACCCTCCGGCCTCGGCCCTGGCCCCCCCCCCCATCGCCTGGCAACGGTCTCCGCCAGTGCATCTCCACGAAGGAGGCGCTCGTGCAGCGGAACCGTGCCGAGCGACCTGTGCCGAAGGGCGGGTGGGTCATGGGTGGGTGGTGGGAGTTGTGGCGTTTCGATGTCCAAAGCCGAGGCGAAGACGGATGGCTCATGGGATGGGATGACCATCATGCGAAGACCCATTGTTATTTGTTTAGTCATGCGCATGTCGTCATTGTCATTGTTCTACTAGCAGATCCACCAGGTCAGGAGCCAAGGTCATGATGTTTTGTGGGGCATTTTGGGGTCCAGGGTGGTGGACGAGTTCTTCCATGAAGCCACTCCGAGCCTTATGCTGTGGTATGTTGGACTCCCCTTAACTTAACTTCTTTTCAAGGCTATCAATAGCAAACAGAGGCTTTTCCGGATCATAGCGAAGCAGCCAGGAGAAGCATTGATTCATCGATGTCCCATAAAAAGGAAGGACAATGCTGAACTTTACTTGCTGAACAGATGTTTCCAGCTACATGGCTGAAGGATTTTTGCAGCTACAGACTGTGTCAGTACTGTACGTAGTATGTCGATTCCTGTGAGAAAGCATCCGGTAGCATCGTTTTCTGATGCTTGAAACGAGGGGATTCATTTCCTTATGGCTGCACAGGGAAGACAGGGTGAAGCAAGGTTGTGAATTCAATGTTGTTCTTTTGATGGGGTTCACCCTTCAAGCATTTTCGAGGTCTCAACAGCCAGCTTTGTTTGCCATAAGAGTCTAAGAGTCCACAGGCCCATCACGTTCCTGGTTTAAGGCACACTTTTCCCACAGATCCGGCGCTCCAGGGTGAAAGAGGCCTAGGCCGGAGCAAATCGAAACGAGGTCCAATTGAACACCACGAAGACAAAGGAGAAGCTACCTCGACCGGAAGGCTTGTGTCTCATTAGGTTTACTCTCTAGGAGCCACTCACATCCTCAGAAGGTGGTTGGGGTATGTTGGGGTCCTTCTGAGGATGTGAGCCCTGGGGACTGTGACTGTTGTTCTCTTAATACACTTTTATCACTTCAGCAGGTGAGATGAACATCTCACTCACTCCGCGACCCCTCCCACCACCCCGAAACTTGCCCCCGGTGTGGCACGACGTGTTCCACGCGTCCACCGCGATGTGACACGCTGAGGTGGAATGAAGCCTTGAAGATCACCACCGCCCTCTGCCGCGTCGGCAGCCAGGACCTCGCGCGGGACCGCGGCCGTTGATGACGATCCCCCGGACGAAGGTCCGGAAGTCGTCCGACGTGTTACTCGACATCCACATGGAAATCCACCGTATACTCGACATCTTCGGTGGTTTGAATCCCCCCTCCAAGTCACAGGGGTCACTTTCTGCCGAAGTCGCCGACGCGCCCTTGGGATCAGTGGTGACCTCCCAAACCCAACACCGGCATGGTGCCTGCCACTGTCGGATCGTTACACCAGATCAGATATACCAGCCAGGAGTCACAGAGCTCGTTGGGTGGTTTTGTTCGTCCCATCGCCGTGGAGGGGCGCTGGGCACCCAACTCCTACCTCCAATACTTGTAGGCAGCCCGAGATGTGACTGCTGGAGGGAATAGTCTTTTTTCCAGGTACGCCTTTTCTCGTCTTCCTCCGATCAGCTCTGCAGGAGCACTTCCAGGCCAAGTTCTGCTGGCTCCAGGCGAGCGCAAGCTCCGCGCCGTGCCGACGATCGTTTTCGTCGCTGCGAGCGGTGCTGAACGGACGTGGCTGCCGCTGGGCAGGTGGGACCCCGCTGGGACCAGCGTGCTGGGATGCCTGTGCTGTGACCCATATGGTTACTACTGTACTTATTGGAACAAGGGTTGGGTAAATAGTGGCTTGACTTGACCAGGACAGCTAGTGAATCAAAAAAGAAGACGTTGGAGTTGAAGCATTAAAAACATGGCATGTCTTGGCATGTCTTGGCCATGCCAAACAGACAGATTCTAAGGAAAGACGGGGTCTCATTGACACCATTCACGAACGACAATTCCCTGAAAGTCATGCGTCCACTGCGTCTTTTTCGATTGCACGTCGATGCTGCACCGCTCAGCCGTTGGTTCCTCAAGAACCACCCTCCGATTTTCTGGAGGCCAAGGTCCGATTCGGTTGCTCTGCAGAGTAGCTGCGTATTCCGCTTTTTCCAGCACTCTGAAGTGGCTGAAGTGGAGGCTAGCTGAGGTTGGGTGAGCCATGTACATGACGCTTGGAACCATCGGGAAGAATTTCGAGCAACGGGCTCGCCCTGTGTGGATGTACCGCTACAATATCAAAGAACCTCATTTAAAGCGACTTCATCATAAACAGAACTCGATGAGGTTTTGAATGTTACTGAGTCAGACTGGGCCGAATGTGTCAATCCTTATACCCGGGCCCAAGTCCAGTCTGAGCAAGTCCCTGGCCATTTACCTTCTTGAATCGTGTTTTTTCTATATCCCTAGGGCTCCAACTACCTCCTGAGAAGGTGGTTAGGGTGGGTTCCAGGGGGGGTCTAACTATCTTCTGAGGATATGGTTGGAGGTTTAAAGGGTATATCAACGTCAGTCAAAGGAGATGAGTTCACATGAGATCATCCACACTTGCGAGTCATGCGCGTCCACGGCCGCGGCGGTGGACAGTCCGCACAAGGTCAGGGGTCAGGTGCCCCACAGGCTAGTGAGAATGGTCGGCCAGCAGCCAAGTAGCTTTCAGGGGCCGGGTCAAGTCATTGACCGTACGGATCGGACGCTTGCCACAAAATTCACAAAGTAACAACCGGGTTCGGATCACCACTGATCTCGGCCACTGAAAGGCCGCCCCGTTTTGGGGCGGCGCGACTCCGCAGGATGCGAGATTTATGCCACGGACCTCAACCACCTGAAGAGACAAGACACTAGCCACACAACGAATCCAACCTCGAACGTAACGAAGAACCGAAGCTAACGTCTGGGGGGCATACCCAAGTTCAGGGGTGGAGGTCGAGGTCACCCATTCATCCTTGCGAAGTCCGGCTGTCGGAACCCGACCCCTAAAGGTGTCCCAAGTCCACAAGGCTAATTCCAGCCAACTAATCTCAAAAGTTTCCGGGGAAGTGTCTATCTGCAGAAGTTTCTGTACCATCTGCAACCCGAAAAGGCCAAAACCAAATGTCGAGGGGGAGGCCTGGAGTTGCACCAACCAATCACTTGGTAGGGCAGCCCACCACGATGATCCCTCACTCAAAGCTACGACCTGAACATGGTCATCTGAATTCTGCCTCTCAGTCACAGCGTCCTCATCAAGCGGCTGCTTCAGTAGGACTTGGCGTGCTGAAGCCACCTCTGTGTGTAGCGCCTGAAGATCGAGCAGGAGGCGCAAGCTGCGGTCTTGGTGAGCACAGAGGCTTCGCCACATAGCTAGGACAGAAGGTGCTCGCATGCAGTGGGCCGCTTTGGCCGCTTTGTCTGCTGCATTGTTCCAGTGAAGTGTCCAATCATCAACCGGAGACTTGCTGTCTTGCAGGTTGCGGTGTGCGGCCACATGTTGACATTGCAAGCGCACACCAGCATGAAGCAAACCCTGAAGCTCATACCAGAGGTCACTGTTGGTGTCATAGGGGACCGCCTCCGGATGAGCCAGCAGCCTAGTGAGGCCTGTAGTGGCATAAGCACTGTCACTCCAGATCGCAACGGCTGCACCCTCCTTCGCAGCCCAAGTTGCGGCGGCCACCAATGCCATCGTCTCGCTGCGATCAATGTTCTGGCACGGCCCATATAGCGGTGCTGCAACAAGACACTTACCATGAGTTGCCGAGACACATGCCCAGGCCGCCAAGGAGCATTCCGGCTGCTCGGGTCGAAGGCAGGAGCCATCAGTAAATATGTCTGTCCAAGGCACATTGGGATCAGCAACTAATGCAAAATCAAACCGAGGTACAGCTAACTCACCAAGAGACTGGACCCAAGAATCCCAGGCAGGAAATCGCTCCGGCAGCAAACGATGTCGCAAGGACACGGGCAAATGCGGCCATTCCTGCAAAATCCTGACATGTTTAGCTCGGGCGGCATGTAGCGGTTGGCAAACTGTGCACCTGTGATCCAGATCATCGACCACATCACACCAAGGACACATTCCTGATTGAAGACGGTCAAATTTGCTCTGCTGTCGACCTGTGAGAAAGACGCCTTCCTGCAACGCCGTCACCTGGCTGAGAGCCAAGGGAGTCAACGCCTTTTGGGCCCGAAGCAGCGTAGGACGATCAATTTCATTCACTCCACGGAAGTCTGCTCGATGGCGGACCGAGGCACTCACTACCTCCATCCATGTTGTCTCCAACATCCTGTACAGGATTGTGGCCGGGATTTGCAACAAGTCAAATGCTGCTCCTGTACGTGGTTGAATCCAAGGTGGCTCAAGCAGAGTCCAGGACAACGGTGATAACACCTCATAGAGCTTGGAGAAAGGGCCCGCTTTGAGCACTCCTCGATACAAGCGGTGATGATCCCGCCAGAGAGTCAATAGTTGCTCTTGCTTGCCGGCTATGCGTCTGAAGCTGTCCAGGACCAACACGAGGTGGTAAAAGCCTGGGTCACTCTTCAGGTTTGGTGAAAGAGCCATGCGAAGAAGTGGTGCAGCTCCTGCTCTTCCATAACCAAGAGCTCGTACGGCCTGCGTACGCAATGATGAGAGGTGTGTACCTCCAAGTAGGCATAGTGCAGTGCCATGGAGAGCCCGTGGCCAGAATGCAGCCACCAGCAACTGACGCTTTAGCTCATCATGCACTTCCATTCTGCGCAACCGCGGCCACAGACTGTGTAGGCTATCAATGCGTGCCTGCACGTGATCAATGTGTCGACGGCCTGTATAGCTCAACTGGGCTCCCAGGTCGGAAGCATGTGTCTTGACTTCATAGCCCAGCATGTGCAACTCCTGGTGATCTTGCATGCTAGTGGACCAGGTCCAAGTCTTGCGATGATCAAGGTCCAATTGCCACATAGCCATGAACTCCTGCAGAATAACCGTACTGCGGAACAGGTCGCCAACTTGGACTGCCAGCAAGCCTAAGTTGTCCACAAAGGACAGAGGAATCACCTGAGGGGCAAAGCACTTCATGTAATAATGGAAGGCCAAATCAATGACACTCATTGCCACGCAGGAGAGCGCGCACCCTTCCGGTACGCCTGCAGACGAAGTGTGAGCCGGGCCGGTGTCACCTCGAACTTGGAAGCGCCTTTCCATAGTATCCATGAATGTCTCCCAGGCCTGGAGCACCGGTTTGGGCGCACCAATGTGGCGGGCCAGCTGCAGCACAGGAAAACGAGGGATATTCTCAAAGGCTTTCTGTATATCAGTGACCAGGCCTTGCATAGTGCTCTGGCTAAGCGCCATGAGTTCAACCAATGCTTGGATCATGAAGGTGATCTCTAGACATTCACGGCCAGGCATAAAGCCAAATTGGGTGTCTGTAGCCAGCTCTGCAATGTGGGCCAGCAGTGGTTTGGCCCTAGCTGTGGCCCAGCTACGGTATATCGCCGGGAAGATAACCAGAGGGCGGAACTGTGAGACCGCAGCAGCATCTACAGTCTTAGCCAAGCAGGCCGTGAACCCCGTCAGCAGCTGTTGAGGCCAAGCAGTCGCCTGGTTTTCCACCGAATGCAAAAGTTGAAGCAAGGCCAGTTTGAATGCGCGCGGCATCACCACCAGATCATGAGGATGGAATCCGTCTGCTCCCCGAGCCGATCGATCAGTATAGCGAGCATTGGCTGCATCCCAAGTCACCAGATCAAGTGGTTGGTATGGCATAGGCCTCCTCGGGAGAAATGCTCGGCCAAAAGACAAGATGCGGTTCCAGTCAGAAGCAGGGATGTTGGCATGTTTGCTCCATCGTTGTGTCCAAAACTCCCCCAAAGCTCTGTGGATCGTAGTAACTTCAGTGCAATAGCTCTTGCACGTGAGGAGTTGGCCCGCTTGAATGAGACAGTCCGCATCCACCACCTGGTACAAATCTTCAGAGATCTGCTCAACCTTGATTTCATTGAAGTCGTCAATCCACCAGGAGAGGTGATCATGAATTGTATTGCCCAAGGGTCTCTCAAGTTGAATTTGGTCACCCCGTTCCGATACAGCAAGAATCTCTGCATCAGCACTTTCCACCAGTGTGTCGACATAGTCTTTTGTCTTGGAACGGATCCTCTGGAAGATCTGGTGACGGAAGGCCTGAATACGGGCTCGGCTAATCTCCCGCTGCTTCCGGCAGTTCCACGATTCATATTGTCGGAAGTTCAGAGTGAAGTCTTCAAACATTCGTGCAATAGAGGTGGATGAAGGTACCAGCATTTCCAGAGATGTTGGAGAGCCCTGCAATTTGATGCGTCGGGTAGGCCACCACTGGACAAAACCTCCCACAAAGCCTTTGCCACGGAGAATAGAGCTCCAACATTCAAGGCGATATGCCATTGCATTAGGATTCTGATCATTCTTCTGCAGATTCTGATGGAGGGCTTGAAGCCTGCGCAATTGTCGGAACCACAACTGGACTCCTCTGGACGCAAAATCAGTACGCAGGCACTGGTCACCATGTCGCGAAGATCGACGCAGCGGAGCTTGCTGCCGACATTGAGTTGGTCGCAGATGTTGGCCACGGCCTAGCCACTGACTTGGAGGTCTCGCACTAGGCGTAGAAACAAAGCCGTTCAAGCTATGATCGAAGCAGCGGGCCCAATGTCTAAATTGCTGTGTTGGGTCATCATGTATCAATTCAACGCTTGAGGGATCATGCCAGTGCGCTTGCCAAGCAGCAACATCAACACTCTTCCAGTCAATGCGAGCAGGCATAGGCCAGACCTATGCCGAGGGAGAGGTTGAAGGCAACTTGAATCGTCCAAATACTGCTGCATGATCAGCAAACACCGGCAGGACTTCTGCACTGTGGAAGAGCGCTGCAAGCTCTGGAGAAACCAGCACAAAGTCCTTCTGGGTGGTGCCTTTGCACGTAGGGCGAGGTGGCACCCCATTCATGCTCCAATCAAGCTCTTGCACCTCTTTCCAGCCCAGACTCTTCCAATACTCGATGATCGGAATCTCGTCCAGGGTCAAATTGAAATCCCCACTGACATAGCGGCAGCCCTGTCGGCTGTGGATCAAAACATCAGTCAGGGTCTCAAAGAGACGATTGGTGAGCTTCTTAGCACCAGGCCACGTCGGGCCAGGCGACCAGGCATAGATTGCTGCCCCCGTCACTCCTAAGCTGCCTAGCCAATGTTGTGCCAGGGCCACGCGTCCTAACTGGAACTCCCCATGCGGCCACTGGGCTTGAACTGAACGTGAGGGGCAATCAGCAATATGCATAACTCCACTCCATGTCCCGGCGAGGCTGGAAGAGGTGCGCAAGGGAACAGGCGCACCAACAAGGAATCGACAGTCCCGGTCACAAGCTCGAGCTGTTCGTCGCAAAGTCCCAAGAACAGTATTTGTCAGAGGTAGGCTGAGATGGGTCTCTGCCACTGTCCAAATTCCTGCAGGAAGGTCGAGCACTTGATGTTCCTTGCCACGGATGCCCGACGGGTTCATAGTGCCGAGGGCAAAACTGTCCTGTGGCAGCCAAACTGGACCAGGATGTGCTGCCTCACCGAAACGAAGTACTTCAGCATGCCAGTCAGCTGTCGTGTCACCTGCCAGTCGGCTCCCCGACCCAACGTAGCAGTACGCGCCAGCAGGCACGTCCGCTCTGTCATAGTAGGACCGGGCAAAGGAGGCTGCTGGCAGGGTGTCACGCAACCAACCATCTTGAAAAATCTCCACCGAAGAGAAGGGGCCAAGCAACCGATCATGGCTACCAATACCGTCAATCCTTATACCCGGGCCCAAGTCCAGTCTGAGCAAGTCCCTGGCCATTTACCTTCTTGAATCGTGTTTTTTCTATATCCCTAGGGCTCCAACTACCTCCTGAGAAGGTGGTTAGGGTGGGTTCCAGGGGGGTCTAACTATCTTCTGAGGATATGGTTGGAGGTTTAAAGGGTATATCAACGTCAGTCAAAGGAGATGAGTTCACATGAGATCAAAAGGGATCGAGAGACTCTTCCACGGGGGCCCAGGTCACCTCGGATGACGCCCTGCTGCTCCACGACAAGGCGGGTTCCCGGAGACCGCGGAGACCGCGGAGACCGCGCTGCACGGACCGACTGCACGACCGAGACACACGGAGACGATGGTCTGAGGAGACGATGGTCAGGAGAGTCGGTTCATGGTCTGTCGAGTCGGGCCTAGGGTGATGAAGATGGATGCACACCAGAAACCCTCCAACGGGCTTTGTGTCTGTCGAGGAGGGGATCGCGTGTCGGTGTGGTTTTGTGCCCAGGTGAATCTGGCGGAGTTTTGCGATGGCCAGGCACATTCGTCATTGAATCTGGGGCTCAGGGGTAGAGCCTTGCGGGTGCTGGGCTGGGTAATTCTTGTGGTGCTGGATCATGGTCACCACGGGGTCGTCCCTCCTTGTTCATGCTGGGTTCTTAAATGGTTTTTCTCGACCCGGACCCGAATGGCATTTGTGGACGGAATCAACAAGAGACAGTATGGCAGCATGATCCACGAGTACAAATCTCTTGGCTCATGCCAATGGAAAGAAATTCAGCATAGGCACAGCCGATCCTTACTGTAGGAGACGCAAACCAGGGGGAAGAGAGACGCTTGAGTCATCTGGGATGTGGTTCATGGTTTTCATACAGTACAGGTGGCTCAACCCATGTCTTGACACGCTTTTAGTCTGTTTTACTCCGTGTTGGTCCATTCACGGAGGTTTTGGGGGCTATAGATATTACAATCTTACAGCCCTGGGATATCCTGGGATTATGGAGCCTCATTCGCTACAAAGTGAGTCTCACACGCACCCTCCCCTGAGCTCCGTCCGCTGACGCTCGCGCTTGCTCCGAAGGTTCGTGAGAAAACCCTGCAGATGAAGGCTGGACTTGGGCACTGACCCCGCTGGGCAGGGACCGCGGCAGGACGCGACGCCGGCAGCGACGCCGGCCGCGCGGCGTGTGGCGTGCGACGCGACGCCTCGTGCGATCGTTGCTGGAGTTTTTGGGTGCATGGAAAAGTCTGCCCGTAAAGTGTCTGAGATGTTCAGATCGATATGCAGTGGTTGAAAGTAGATACCCTATATTAGACTCCCCGTACGGGCACAGTCCCCAAGTGAGATGCTGCATGGCCTTGACCAAGAGACACTTCGTTGAACTGGGAACCGAATGCTCCTTTCACAGACCAGACCAGTTCCCCAGACCATCCATGGGACTGGAAGATGTACCTCCACAGACCCTGAACACATCGAAAAGACCACCGGCAAAACATTCCAGTCCTGGGGGTTTAACGGTTTGAAGTCAGAGCAACACCCACCGAAATGGCAGAATTCATTTGGAACATCCAAAAACCCCTCCAAAGACTCTCCGCTTTTCCTTGAGTCCGGACACGGACACCGGTCTTCCAGGTTCTGACTGAACGTGTCCTTCTTTGTTCCAGGAGTCCATTCCAACCCAGAATCACCTGCATGAAATCCAACTAAATCTCAATTCCCATTCTCCCTTTCTATCCGCCACCGGACCGCCACCGGACACGACCGCCAACGCCACCCGACCCGACTCGCGCCGCTCCGGGCTCACGGCCGGCGCAGCGTGCCGGGTCCCGCGGCCGGGCTCAGCTCGGGCGCTGCCGCGGCTCACGATGTTGGGGAGCTCAGGAAGAGGTGAGGTGCACGGAGTCACAGTGAGTCGCCGTGGGAGGCGACTGGGAAGCGTGCAGGGAGGTGGTGTTCTTTTCAGAGATGTGTGGAGGTCCATGGAGGTTGTTAGTACTGAGAATTGAGGATGTTTTGAAGACGGTGTTTCGTTCTGGAAGGATGAAATGCAGCTAGTCTTGAAAGCTTCAAGTCATCGGGCTGATGGACCATGGACTCATCAGACCGCTCTGCATGGATTCACTTCTCAGATATTCTCAGTTCTCATCGCTTCATCCTTTCGCGTTTCGGAGCGGCTATACTCCAGACACTCCGTAGCCTTTCACCCCCTTTTCAATCATCCCAATCTTGTTTTAATCATTTCTAGTTCCATGGAGTGTTAGCTAGCCTTGATCCCCTTTTCATCCTTGTTCAATCACCCCAATTTTTCAATATTCCAATTCTAGTTCCATGGACTGATAGCTACATACCAGATGAGCTGGATGAGGATCTAGATAGATCTTCCCTGGAAGCTCCGTTGCTCGCCCAGGTTACCACCTCCATTGCCCGCCATGCCGCCCGGGGCACCCAGTTCCATGATTTTCACTGGCATTCGAGAAACATCACCTGTGAAATACCTTTCAATTCTTCAAACAATGGACCTATCGATTCATAAGAATTCACCCAAGAAGAAGGGGTGCAGACCCTGACACTGGATGTTTGATGATGTTTGCCTGACAACTCCCCCTCCAGGGCAACATCACCCATCCGACGGTGCGACGGTGCGCGCGATTGAAACCCTCAAGGAGACCAAGAATGCGGCAACATGTAGATTGGAACTGCAGAGAAATTCAGCTTCAGGAGTGCAAGGGGATGCCGTCCGGATGTTGTTTGGTTTATAGACCCCCCTAAAGATCTACTGTTCATTTGTTCATCTAATACCCACCCCTTGATTATGCCCAATACTGCTCTTCATGCCGTTGGTCAGGCCTTCATTCTTGGTGCCAAAGAATCACCTTCTTCTTGGGATATCCCTTTCGATCGCATTTTCCAGTGACCGTTGTTGATGACTGACGGCTGGCGCGGAAAGCCCTGCCGTTTCCGATTCGCTCTGTGTCGGCGGATATAAAAGGAAATACCCACCCCTTGGGTGGTTCTTCTTCAGTTTCCAGGTTTCGAAACGCCCAGGGGTGCTGCCAGGGTGGATGGTCTTCGGTGTTTGGGTCTAGCGAACCGACCTAGAAGACCGCGGATGGCGTGCTGCGGCGCGAAGCCCTGAAGACCGAGCGCCACTCGACACGTGCCGAGCGCATCCCGCCATCCAGGGGCACTGCACCCGTTGGGGCCCCAGCAAGAAGTGAGGGCAAAAATGGACGGAGAGGCCGACAATCAACCCAGATGTTGCTGGTGGGTGTCTGAGGTTTTCCGATGGTTTTTGGGGTAACCTTTGGAGTGTTCTGAGGTTTGGGGGGGGTAACCCAGACACTCCCAATGTTCATGGAATTCTGTTTCCAAGGCCCAAACAGAAACAGGATAAACAGGTGGAGCTTCTCTCGTGTTTTCATTCTGGCTTGAAGGGTAGTAATCACCTCATAGTTGCAGTGTAGAGAGGTTGATTTGGTGGCTTGTTTGGCATGGACAGGTTGGGATTCCCTTAATATACATCTAAACACTAATCTAAACTAGGACCCACAAGGGGTGGTTAATGGACACCCCTTAACCTCTAAGGGGCTATCAATAGACACCCCTTAGGGTGTCCTGGAATGTCGAGGTGCATGTAAAAGGGCTCCTTAAACACTCGAATCAGCTCTTTCTTTCCCCACTCAAATCATCTCAAATCGCACGGTAGGTGGGTTCTCCTGCCCTTTGGTTCGCGAGTTTTTGAGTGTTCCGAGTGTTCCAAGTCAGCAGTGATCCAGTTGTTAGGCTGCATGGATGGTGCAAGAGGTGGACAGTTCGGTATTTTTCGGCCAATTTCCCGGCTCGCGGGTTCTTGAGGGGATGGCTGAAAGGGGGGAAGCTTCCAAAACTGATGGTTCGAAGACAGATTCTGACTGAGACAGCATGGAATCGACCCTCTTGATGTGTCAAAGCTCCCGGTTTTGAGATGTTTTTGGTCCAAAGCTGGGGCTGCAGCTTCAGTCATCCATGCGAAGATTGGGTTCGATGTGGGGATGCTAAGCCAAATCACCTCCTTGCCTGAGGCCCCGGTACCAGGCTCCGCAGCTGCGGGATGCTGCGGGGGGAAGCGGGAAGATCTGGAGAAACGACGAGAAGATGGAAGATGGGGATTGCACAGCATCTATGGTGTGGGTCGGCCCCCCCATGTCCGTGTCCTCATGGTTTTGTGATCCCTAACTTGATGCACGAAGTCGAAGGTCCATTTGTACATCGGAACCGGCGGTCGATGACAAGACCAGGGCTGTTGTTTTTCATAAACCATCGCAGATGTTGGATGGATGACATGTTTTTCCCTAGGGATCCACTGCTACCTTCTCAGGTACGGTACGACTGAACCCTCCTAGCACCTAACTACCAAGAAGTGTCGAACACCTCAGAGGGTATGTGGATGCAATGGGGTTTGATATATTTTGCCTGACTCTCAGTCACTAACAGGCTTCCAAGGGAAGACAAGTGTTTTTAGAATTCTTTTGATGGCATGAGTGAGAGTACCAAAAGAGATAGCATACAAGAGCGGTCGCTCGTTCAGACCTGCACCATCAAAGACAAGTCTAAGAAGTCCTACATGATCCACATGAAACTTCCAAGAGGGTTTGTTCTCTAATCAGCTTCTCCAATGACTCAACCAAAAACACCCATGTCCTTTGGCAGAACATCCAATCATCTCTGAAATCCGGTTTGTGAGGCCTTTTGGAGCTTTTCCTTTTTGGGGGGGGTATGGGTATGGGATATGAAGAACTACCAGCCTGCCAAGTGCTTGCGCAACTACCACCTGATCTACCTGGTGTATCGTGCCGTGCAGCTTTTTCCACTCGATGTGATTGCTGGGAAAAGCAACTCAACCCCCCTTCAAGACCAGAGCCAACTCCAAGCAAACTATATTGTGAATGTGTATTTTATATACTATGGAGCACCCAATGGGTAGAGTGGTCGACCATTTCCCTTCTTCCACTTCAGGTCGTTGCCTGGGAGGTCTCCCTATTTTCATACACCAATGTAAGCCCCGTTCGTGTGGACGATGAACAGCTGGACTCCTTGACCCGAAACGAGCATCGTAGCACCCGACTGGTCTGCAGGTGTTGGTGACGTTTCACCACCCCCTGGGAGTCAAAGACTATACAAAGAATGGTCTGACGAACGGTGACCCAAGTCTAGGAATTTCCTGAAAACTTCAGTCGGTCAACATATAGTCGAACTGGACTCTATAGGGCACCTGCTCTAGAAAGGCCTCCAAACAGCCTGGCCAGGAGGGGGGAGGGTCCTGGTCTAGGACTCTCTAGGACGGGCTAGTCCTGTCTAGTCTAGTCCTACGGATTCGTCAGACGCCACGATCCAAGCACCGTTCGACCGAGACAGTCGCAGCGTGGTGAGAGTCGTGGACTCTCAAGATCTATGTCATCACTACCCCCTATTGCGGTGCTTGACCCTGCCCGGGGGGGGGTCAGGTAGTAGTGATATGCCAAGAGACCACTCAGTCGACTGCTGTTTGGGGGAAGAGAGGGGCCTCTCGACGAAAGGCGCCTTGCCAGGTGCCGTGGCTGGTGTGGTGCCACCGCCCGCAGCACCGGTCGGGAGCTCCCAACGAGTCCGTCGTCGCCGTCCGGCGCTTCCGGACGGCTTCCGGTGGGACCTCCGGGGAGGTCCGGTGGAGTCACAGAGAGTGATAGGGGATCCAGTTCTTCAACTTCAAGAAGCTATACCAACAGAGGTTGAAGGACCCGAACTAGACCATCCCATAGGTACCCCAGTAGGGTCCTATAAGGTCACTTAACCTCTCTTGGTAGGTCCCCCTGACCAGGCAAAGGAGGGTGGTTTTTGAGCCTCTCTAAGTGAGTGGATGTGTTGAGGGGGCCCACCCAGACCTCCTCCATGGATAGCACCCCAATCACGTGACTGCTGGTGTGTTGTTTGGTTCTTCGACGTCCATCACAGACTTGACGTCCACCCGCTAGATCCCCCAAGTTAACACATCTACCTGACCTCTTTCACCTTCGCCCACTGGACATCCATCTGCAGGACAACGCACATCAAAGCAAGCACAGCGGAGCAGGTCGAAGAACGAGTTCTACTCCTCGATGGTCCACAGAAACTGAGGGAGTTTGCTTGGTTGAAAATACTGGGGTAGAGCTGGACCCATGGCTGTGAGGACCTGAAAGATGGGGACCTCGCTCTCTCTGGAGAGACTCGTGGACACTCCGGACGTGGAATACCTCATACCAAACACATGCAAACACCAAGCAACTCCCCACCAAGCATTTTGCGAGATTGTTCTACTGTTTTCCAGACCTAACTGAGCCCTAGGGATCCAAGTACCTTCTCAGAAGATGATGTGTTCGACACTGTTATGTAGGTTTGGAGGGTCCAAATATGTATACAATTTACAATGTATACCAATATTA